CCCTGTCACACTAATGACACCACTTTCTGTGGAGTGCCAACGCTGCGCGCTAAAAACAATGGGGAAATAATTACACTCTTTCAGTAGAGTACAAATTGCAACGAGAGATATAAGCAACGGGGAGAGGGAGGGGATGGGAGAGGGAGGGGATGAGACAAGGATGACTAACAATTACAACACGATAGGGGTTGGGTCTCATTACTGCGCCTATTAACATGCACCAAGTCATTTTCCCCCATCAGTTTGTGTGTGCGCATGAGAGCGAGTGAGAGAGAGAGAGAGAGAGAGAGAGAGAGAGAGAGAGAGAGAGTGCCAGTGTGTGCGCCCAATAGTGTGTGTCCATTAGGTTCTGCAACACACCTCTCTGCCTCCGTGCGCAATCTGCCCGGAGAGCCCAGCGGCACCTCATTTCTCTCCCATATGTCTGAGCTCCGCGCGCTCTCCTCTCTATTCCCAGCCGATCACGATCCATGCAAAGCGATTATAAAGGCGCGTGAAAAGAGCCCGGTCAGCGGATCAGCCTCGCAGATCACTCAATAGAAGCAGCGCGGAGCTTCGACCGATCGCTTATTTAACCTTATAGCGGTAAAAACACCGCATCAATCTCACACCACTTGCCCTAACCGACAGAACGCGCTAGAGACGGTCAGCGGGAATTGACGGACGTTGGAATCGGCTCATCATGTGGTCCATTTTTACGCATGGCAATCACGCGCCGTGGGAGCGGAGTCAATTGGAGATCGCGGAAGGTTTTTGTTGGGAAAATCCTGATGCTTTTTTTCAGAAATCGTTCCTCAGCAAAAATGTTTGCTGCGCTCTGAGCAAATAACATCAAAGTTGTTTCCAGCTCGCAAGTCATTTAGTGAGTCAGACAATCACCACCCCTTCTCTCTCTGCTGCCCATGGAAAAAATGTTCCACATCTCTACAGCCAAAGTCCCCCTCTGACCCCATCCTCGTTGCATTAGCCTACTGATCGTGCGCCATGAAAAGGCACATGGAATTAAAATGTGAATATATACTTATTGAATTTGAATAAAAACACCACCTTACCCAAATCTATAAACTCGATGACATGATCACAGAGAATTGTAAAGGATCCAAGTGAGACAGTAGAGCGGTTTGCCACTTTCTGCTTCAACTCCACTGGTTTTGTTTTCCACTAAACGGGGCAATCCTTTTGAGCCTCCTGCCCAGATCCCGGAGCCCGCGCACAAACACACTGAAGCAGGGGTGAGGAGGGCTACTGCAACGCCAGAGTACCAGCCCTCCGGAGCCGGGTGAGAAAATAGAGCTCGCGCAATAGCGATGTGCTCCAATGTGCCATGATCGTGCCGCGTCCCATCTTAAAAGCACACTGAGGAGGAAGTCATCAAAAGTGCGTAATTCCCCCAAAGAGAAACCGGGCTGATGTCTCTTGCGACCACTCCACACAAGTTCAATCCCCCTGCGCGCGAATGTCACAGGGAGGCGTTAAAGTCGCCGGAGAGCTACTGATGAGAGCAATGCTATAGCGATGCAAGAGTGATAGTTGCGCTCCCGTCGCTCCTCCCGAGCTGGGATCGATTGGACATGAGAAATGCGATGCGAGCCCGTCTTCCTCATTCAGAACACGTGCAGCAGCGCCCGCCCAGTTCACCAGCTCCCAAGTACACCCCCTCTTCCTCACTGATGTCATGTAGTTTACAAGTAGCTTGGACTGTCGGGGGGTGGGGGGGTCACCTTAACAAGTCATGTATCGTCATTGTGGAATACTTGACTTGTCCATTTTTTCATTTTTTATTGTTTTGTTGTTATGTTTTATGGTTTGTATCAGTTCATCTTAAAACGTACCAGGTACAACAGATCGGGGGAAACAATGCAGAGGGAGTATTTTGGGTGCACACCTGGTCATGCACCGTTTAACATTGTCATACATTTTACATGGGATATTGTCTTCCTAATTGAAGAGTTCCATTGATTTTTGATCAAATTGGTAAGAGTTTGCCCCATTGTGAAAGTGTTAACACGTCACCACTCCAGTACTTGTGTATAACTTATGTGTGTTGAGTTGAGGAGGGGTCTGGTGAATGACAGCTGCGCTATGTGCGCGAGTCGATGACCCTTGCTCATCACATAATAGTCCACCTCGTCTCCACACTTCGATCATGTTACAGATGGTGTCTGGATATCAATACTTGGGTCTGTACTTGGCTAATACGCGCGGATGGTGTAAATCTAACCCCCCCTCCCACTGCGATGTTAAACAGAATTTAATCACCGCCGCCTCTCCGTTACGCACCAGGAGACAGCCTATCAATTATTCCATCCCTAGAATATTCTAGTGTGTTGATGGCGATTGATTGCTTTGCGCTGTATTTGCAGTCGTTAAGACTTAGAGGAGGTCGATGTCTGCTAACGACCCAAGGTGAGGAGTATCCGATACGTTCTGACGTCTTCCTTGTTTTTTTTGTTGCGAGCATTGCTGGGCCTGTCAGTGGAAGTATCTTTTTGTTGGGAGTTGTTTAAAGATACGTGACTTTTAATTTACAGTAGCAAAAAAACATGAAATGTAACGAATTTCAAGACTGAAACATGGAGCGCTGGCATTTATCTAACACTAATCTTGTCAGGCACTGTCCTTCCCTTATGACCATTGTGCAACCTGTGCATGACTTTGAACTGAGACCATTAGTCACTGACGTATATGTTCGCCAGGACTGAGGTACAAGCAGCCCTTTAGTTGCAGGATGCAGAATAAAAAACAAACATTAAAATGAAGTAAAGATCCTAGTTTTAGCACCATGGACAGGGCCAGACGCGCTGCATATAAATTCAGAACGCTGGACAGCTCCAGACTGTCCTGTCACTGTGCTTTTCTTTTAGCTTACTTTGCTGTCAAGTGGCTAATCCGCTTTGCAGACAAAATAAACAAAAGTAGATGAACTGTGTTGAGTCTGCGTATTAAAAGGGAAAGAAAAAAAAAACACCAGAAACTTGATAAAACATAACATATCAAGTTTGCACCGGCAAGTGGTTGTGTCTACTGAACCTGTGTGTCACAATGGGGATCTGAGGCCTTCTATCTTAAAGTGAGGCCGCTAATGGATACAACAGCCCACAGCACTTATCTCATCTATCCATCCTCTGAGGGGCCAGGTGGTATCAGAGGAAACCCCACCATGTGACGTAAACACGGACTTGAAAGTGCAAGATTGAGCGGGGTGAAATCTAATTTACTTCCCTTATTCCCGTCACATTTGTAAGTGGTAAAGAGCCATCTGTTCACTTAACATGTTTCTCAGCTTGTATCCGTTTCAGCGTTTCATTCTGAAGCCGGAATGAGAAGTTAAAGGTTGCATCCTCATCCTTACAGGTGGTGGAAGGGGTCAAAGTATAGGCTGAAGTCTTCTTGGCGTGTCACGTATCGGAGGAGCGGAGTTATAGGATATCCTCTGGGATTGTTCCCCCAATAACCATCGCCACAGGGGAGAAAAAAAACATTAAGGAAATATCTGCTCACAAACGCTGTTTTCCTGGTGCGAGGGGACGCCTGGAAAAGTGGCCACGGTGAAATGATCGGGTTGTGATTGATTTGTCCGATTTCAGAGGTGAGAATTGTTTGTCTTTTGAGATCAATTAAATTATGCTCATGGTCACGTTATAAAAAGCGAAGATACATCATCTTTGGGTAAGAATGAAATAAATAAACAACAACAAAGCTGGTGTGGACGGAACAGAAAGTTCAGAATGTAACTGCAGATGCGGCTCAGACTAAAATAGGGCAATAAACAGTCGCCAAGCTAGTGAGATATCTCACGCGAAAAGCAAACTCGCATAACAACTCCTAATTCTAAAGTGTGAATCGCGCTCAGACGTGATAATGACTTTACTCACAGCTTCCACCTCAGTGATTAAACCTCGGCCCTTTCTTGCAATCAGCTCTCCTGTCCTGACGCGTCGACAGCCCGCTTCTTCTCTGCACAGGGTCTACATTTTAAGGGCGACAGAGATAAAGCAACTCAACATTTATGGAGGACAGCACACGATTACCCACGACGCGACTAAACGAGGCCACCCGAGACATGGCTGTTGTGGAACTGTGGGAGGTAAACTTCCAGCGGCCTGAGGCAGCGCATGTGGGGCCCGTTCATAGAGAAGTCTGCCTGTGCGACACCGCCAAGTAATTTCACCAGCACACGTATACGCTGCGCCCTGGCGGCCAATGAAGCAAGGTTATACTGTGCGCACGGTGACCACAGACACACACACACACACACACACACACACAGAGGAGATGATTTTGCACTGAAGATTTGTTTTCTTCACGCGTTAGGCTACACTTGAAATCGAAAGGTGGGTTTGGTGAACCGATGCGTTTCTGAACGTCTTCTCTTCCACTCAAGTGCTCCATTTTGGACATGGGCAGGCTTTGCGCATTAAAACAGGACTTGGTCATCGATTCGGAGCCGCGATGAAGGTTAATGAGAACAGGCATCTTGGTTCCTCTGCTTTTGACCCCCCCCCCCACTTCATGGAGATTCTTAATTTCTTTACGAGGTCACTGGCAGTAACCCGAGCAGGGCCATAAATAGTGTCCATCCCAGACAGGCCCGGTGTCTGTCAATACCCCGAAAGTTCAGACACAACATCCGCAAAAAGCGGACAGGAGCACGACTGCTGACATCAAACATGCGATATTGGAGCAAACACGGAAACAAACAGTGACTTCTTATGACCCGCTGGATATATTTGTGAAGAAATTGTTCTCACTCTCTACACACTGTTTGGAACAAGTCTGTCAGGGACGATCACACAGCGCAGGATTTGGCCTCATGTGTGATGTTGTACTGCCCCCGCGTGGCTCAGATGCGTCACTGTTCACTTAGTAGCTTTTGAGGTCATCCAGATTTATTATGGTGACAGTAAAAACTGGACTAGTGCCCTTTTGCGAAGAGCTCTCTCTCTCCTCAGACACGAACTCACTAAAATAATGAAACCCACAGCAAAGAGCTGTCCGGTGTCAGCAGGAATCGGCCTTCAGTCCCCCCCTTCCAAGGTCAGACTTCAAAAGATGATTGATTAAATTAAGATGAATTAAATTTCTGATGCCAAATATGGCCCGCACAGACAGGAAGACATTCTTCAGCATTTTTAAGAATCATTTATTTCATAATATTACACAGCTTTGAAATATGAAATCGCCTACAAGTTCAAGCACAGCCCCGACTAAAAAGTTCTGACCGAGTTTAACTCGGTTTCATCGATAAATAAAACATCACCTGGTAACACGAAAGTCATCTGATCGCTCAAAATACTCCTGTGCATTGCATCAGCCGCATGCAGATTGTGCTCATTCCATCTTAGTCAAATTTACCTAAAAATACAAAACAGCATTCCAGAGTTTAGAAAAGGTAATGTCACCAGCAGCACCCTCATCATTTGACCATACTGACAATGCATCACACCAACAAACACAGAAACGTTTAAATAATGAATGTTACGACTGTAAAAGAACACCATGTCAACTGTAAAGACAGACACACAAATAAAAGGTCGATTTAAAAAGTCCACCAGATGTTTTTTTAAATTTAGCTGACAAAAGCAACATTATTTTTAAGTGGAGTGTTGAATTTTACTGACAAATACTTGAATGTTTGTTCCACAGTGCTTACTGTCAATGTGTTGTACAAACACTAATACTGATATAAAAGAAATCCCTCTTGGCAGGAGGAGTGTCTCAGTTACCTTCTGTCTCTCACTTTTAAAACTATTTCGATGAGCAAAAACTTAAATTCATATGTCAAACTAAATGCAAAAAAACCTGTAAGCGTGAATCCAGCATGTGAATACTGCACATCATATTGGACTGGAGTGTGCTGGATGTGCTCAGAAACTCTTGTCGACAGCTCTGAGGAGGCTGGCGTCAAGGTGACACTGATGAAATGTGACAAGATGTCGCGTGTGAAGGGATGCCGTAACAGCTGCTCATTAGCTAACTTTGTCGGCGTGGAATGAAGTAGACGCAGCAGCGGTAATGAAGAAACATAGGACACATCGTATCGCTCTCCAGATGCTGCGACTGCACACGCCTCGCCTTTTAACTGATTTGACACTAATAAGAGCTGGTGGTGGAGGCTGTTCAACCCTGAGTATTACTTTTCACTCATCCAGACCTATCAAAGCAGCGGACAGGAGGTGACAAATACTCTACCAGACCACTGACGGATGATGTAACTTTTAAAAAACAATCGTATAAAATGACTCTGCCAATGTGAAGAGCGCTTTAGATCACAACAAACGAGCGGGTTGGTGTTAAAAGTTCTTCAGCGTCCGGATGTCTGTGTCCCACACTCACAGAGACTCTAGAGTTCATCATGAAGGGTACGACGCTGCCATTTGGGATGGTGTGTGACGTACTCAGCTGCCTCCAGCACAAGGCGCATGAACTCCCCCACATCAAAGGAGTAGTTGGTAAACTTCGGATGGTCCCCGAGGGTTGGATGGTGACCCTGAGGGAAGAGACGGAGAAACGTGTGTACATAAAAGCATTAAAATGTGTGTGTTTTGTATCGTCAGGGTGTCCTAGCGATTAGGTGACGAGGGATATAACATGCGCGAGGAATGAAGCCTGTTCGTTTGTTTTTGCAATGCCTCTAATTGCCCATAGTGAAATGAGTGTAAGTGTGTGAAGATAGGTGAGATGAATTGAGAAGGCTCACACTGAGGTGCCTGAGAGCTAATGGCTGGTACGGGAGTTTCCCCTACCTTGTCCTGTGGGTGCACTTTGTCCATTTTCTGCCAAGTCACGTATCGAATGCCCCGAAGCCGAGCCAAATCTCGATAGCAGCTCTCATCCTGACAATTATATCTGCGAGGGACAGATGCACACACTTTATCTCTTGCTCTACTCGGTCTGCCTCACTTTCTCTCTCTCTCTTTCTCTCGCTCTCTCTTGCTGTACAAACACTGTAGTTCTCGCTCTGTGCCACTCACCAAAAGTGCACACAATACTCCCACACATGCCCATTCTCTCTCTCTCTCTCTCTCTCTCTCTCTCACACACACACACACACACACACACACACACACACACACACACACACACACACACACCAAAAATCTCTTCTACCCAGGGTAGCCAGGTGTGATGGATGCCTGGTTAATTAGACAGTATTTCAAAGTCATACACCAAGTGTCTGAGGGCTACTTTGGGCACAGCACGCTGCCATCGCTCTCCCTGCTCCCCTCTCTGTCTTTTACAGTCTTTCACTCAAACACACCCACACCCACACCCACACACACACACACAGGCAGACAAAAAATGTCACTCACAGCTCAAAGATTACAGCCCAGTCAGGGAGGAAGAGGAGGTGCGTGAGACCCGCCCCGTGCATCCCGATAAAGATGTCAGAGTTGCTGGTGATCCTCAACTGCACCAGGAAGGGAACATCCCTGAAAGGCAGTCAGGGAGTCACACATCAATCATCTTTATTGTGTAAACACTGTTGCTGTTACAACCTTTGAAAAGCTTTACATTGACTTATTCATGTTCAGCACTGTTACATTGCTGACCAATGCCAAGCAGCACTGAATACTTCCCGTAGTACTGTGACAAGCACTCTATAACTCACTTGTATTTGTAGTCCACCACGTTGACCTCCAGTAAAGGCACAGTCTTGAGGGCATTTACCAGCTGTAACAACAACAGAGGGAGGTGTTCTCTGATCAATGAGAGAGCAAACAAATATAGGCAGCGACCATATAAATCACAAGCCTTTTTTACTTGTACGGTTTATAGCAAATACGATTTTAAATAGGCACTTAACAGATGTGGGCAGTAAATCAATGGTGGAAAGGAGGGACTGCAGGCGTGAGAGAGTTGTACAGAGAGAAGAAAGAGAAGGAGACAAAGAGAGAGAGAGAAAGGGAACGACAGAGAAGGAGGAAAAAAGGAGAACAGGATGGAGGGAAAAGAGCAAGTGCAAGAAAGTTAAGGGACAGAAAGGAGGAGGGAGGGCGGTGCTTCACTCACTTCCACTTGGTTTAATATCCTTCTGTATTCTGTGCTGCGTGCCAGCAGGGTGACACGAACACGCCCCTCCTGAAAACAGCAATGCGCCCAATAATCAATCAGCCAAGGACAGGAAAGATAGGCGGCTGGCAAAAGCCTCTATTTAAACTGTGTCATTTTTACAGCACAGAGGAGACGACACATCAGCTAAAATCACATTACAAAGTATTTTTACAGAGGTTTTCTTTTCTGACGAGCTCTTATTAGTTTATACAGTGTGTAGGTTTAATATATTCTTCTGCTGCCACCTTGTGTTCTGAAGGAGAACACCTTACTAAATGCAGTGGGCGTATATGTATTTAACACAGATCTCATGTATTCTCTTCTGCTTAAATATGTTTAAAAGTACTGAAAAAGATGCCATTCTGAGAAAGACCAGGACTGAGTAGAATCATGACACGGTGGAGATGGGAGGAGAGGGCCGGTCGAGGCGGATGAAGAGGACACAACAGAGGAGAGCAGCAGTGTGAGTCTCTGGCGGTGCCATTAATCTAGGGATGAAAGGAGGAGGGTCAGGGCAGAGAGGACCTCTCGTTCAGTCGCAGGCCTATCGCCAGCAGCCCCACGTCTCGCCGAAAGGCCTCTTAGCATATTTCCAGTGGCGGCCGTGAATACCCAATGAGCTGCTCTACAGGAAGGAAGAAGTTATTGGGCTTCGCCGGTCATAAAGATACATTCAAACGCTTCAAACCTGGGATCATAAAACACCTGTGAAAAAGTGCTGAAGAGTTATGGATGTAGGAGGAATAAGGAGGCGGCTGTGGCAGTATTCAAGTGTGCGCATCCATCTTTCAGAAACTAGAAGGCTATACGGTCAGCGAGGAGCTCTTTCCCTGAGTTTATCGTAGTAATGAAATCACCTCGTCGTAGTGAGTGGAGTGACTTGGTGCTCCATCACACACGGTTGCTCATTCTGCTCGTCAACATACATTTTACTTCGAGAACCTGATCTTTGCTTAAAACTGTAAGGAAAGCCTGATTAGTAAAGAAGTGAACAAGTTGTTTTTCTATTTTCTTCTGAAAAAATATTTTCACTGAAAAGATATTCAGTGCTTAGTTTCAGAAAAAAATAAATGTCCTAAGGTGTAAATTGTCTTAACAGCTTTTTAGGAGAAATATTGTGACATTCACAACATAGGAATCCGAGGTGCAAGAAAGAGTGACGGCGACATAAAAGTCAGTGATATTCAACAGAAAGCAGAGACGCTGGTGGAAGGGGTCAAACATTTTCTGTCACACATTTGAACTTGCTAAAGACTTGTAACTGGAGATCTATCACAGCAAACAACTTGCAGCGTTGCTTAGCCAGTTGCTCCTTTCACTCATGCTATTTTGGTGCAGGTGTAAAAGGACACCAAATCAGTAAACCTGATGTAGTGCTTTGGTTTTGGCACTTTTACTAAACACACTATCTTTCTCAGTAGGGGAAATTGTTGGGTGTAATGTGACAAGGCCCCTTATTGTGCAATCATCAGATATTAAATCAAGGAGACAAAGAAAGCGTTCCCTGACCGGGAATCGAACCCGGGCCGCGGCGGTGAGAGCGCCGAATCCTAACCACTAGACTACCAGGGACCTGTTTCCACTCTCTCAGCAGCTGAAAATCTAACATGTGGAGCAGTATAGTCATTTAATCAGGTCTGCACAAATTTACACGTTATCTCCAAGATCTTTCCAGGTAGGATCTATCGTTTCTACATAAGCACATACAATGTAAACAGAGAGGGTCAGTTATTAATAGTTAAAATCATTATCTTCCTTTTCGTTTGATTCACAGTGGATCTGTTCATGTGTCTGTGGCAGGAAGGAGCTTGTGTTTTGGTGAGAGAAGTGCAGGTATGCTGATGTGCATGTATGTAGTCTTTTTGCCATTAAAACGGTGTTTTTCTACGGCACAGCGGTGAAAGCCCCGAATCCTTAACACGAGACCACCAGGGAACTGAGTAACTAAAACAACATGCCTTCTGTGTGAAACAACATAAAACTATGATTGTTTATGGATAAACATGTGAACCAGAACCCTACTAATGGTTTTAAATGTTAAAGCTAATTGACCAGAAAGTGCACACGCTTTCTGTTACCGCAGACTATTTCCCAGTCCTGTGATTTCTTCCCTTCCAGGCATATAGTAGCTTCCACCCGTAACAGCAGGCTGCGACAATCAACGTGCAGAGAGCTTTAGATCACAGTGAACAACTCACAGTCTTGATTTATTTGTCAGTCTGTTGTCTTTGAGACGGTATCACCAGCCTTGTATTTTCAGCGAAGAGCTTTGCAAGATGGGAGTCTGCACGTGGATGTAACATATACATTTAATATCAATCTGCCCATTAACAGCATATTAAATACAGTTCAGTCACCTGTTTGTGTTGGTTGGTATGTAAAATTATGACCCGATGGTGCCACAAGATATCATCAAAGTCATCATGGATCATTTTCTGGTACTATATATATATATATATATATATCCATACGGATATCCATGGCAACATGTTGTTGACACCTCCCTGACTATCATTGTCATACTACAGCCTAATTTATTCATGCATTACTGCCATTCAGACTGGTGCTAGAACTTACACCAGCATTTCCCAGGCAGAGGGAGACAACTTGAGAGGTCTCCAGTCTATGAGAGTCGGATTGATCAGAATGAGTTTTCTTTTTCCTCTCCTTTAGTATAGTTCCGATGTCTAAATTGATGATAGATTGAGTGAGAAGATAAGCTGAGATGTGTGTGTGAGTGACCCTTTTGACATTTAACCATGCAGGTCCCTGGTAGTCTAGTGGTTAGGATTCGGCGCTCTCACCGCCGCGGCCTGGGTTAGATTCCCGGTCAGGGAACACCTTCTTTGTGTCCAGCATGATTTAAAATCCTGTTAAATGCACAATGAGGGGCCAACAATTTCACATACTGAGAAATATATGTGTGTTTAGTCAAAAGCTGACTGAAGAAGGCTTCTGGCTTGTTTCAATAACAGCTTAATTGATTTGAGAAGTTTTGTCACCAGCAACTGTTGATAGAGATGCTCTACAGCACAAAGTACAGCCTGAAAGATTAACAGTAAGAAGGATGAAAGACACGACGTCAGCTTCACTAAGATGGTACTATTACTACTACCTTTACTACTCTATTGGATTGTATTGGATTATAAATATGTTCATGAAACTGGGTCCATCCCATGCATATAAACAAGAAAAAGACAGATTCTGAAAAGACGTTCTTCCTACCTTTGGAGCGTCTCGCGGGATGTTCAGTCGATGAAGGACATGCTGGGAGAACGCCCTAAACATCCCTTCACTGTAGCAGTCTGAGATCTGACATCAACACACCGCAGAAAGTGTCAATTTCACTCACATATGCAATTTATTTTTCATCCATCCATTCAATTTAAAAGAGTGTATTAAAATGATTACTTTGGTTGTTTACAGTCATGCAAAAAGATGATCAATATTTGCATTTTTTTGAAAATGGACTCTGGTTTGGAATGAATTGCCACACTGCTGCATTTCACTGGGTTGAGATGAAGAACATGTAACACACTGGGGCTCTGGCAATTGTACACATAATTCTAATCTCCCTGGGATCAATATCATATGAGCCTATGCATCTCTCAAGTCCAACAATCTCACACATACACTGCTGCACTGCAGCTGTACATGTGAGCACATGAATGTAAACATGACATATGCTGCTGCAGTGGTATTCAAAGCATGAACTTGAAGCTGAGCTGTCAATATTTCACACCCCAAGGCTGAAAGCACAGGACAACACATATTTACATGGTATCATCTTTGTAGTAATCTCCTTGGAATTATCATTTAAATAACGTGAGCACCTGCTGAGCTTTTGAATACATCACATAAATATTTGACCTGAACTGCATATTTATGACTAAACCGGATATCATTGGGAAAGAAAGACCAATAAGTTATGTAAGATAAAAACATGTAAATGAAAACAGAAACAAGGCAATATTGAATGAGACCATTTGTTGAAAGCAAATACATGTAAAGTACATCTATCTGGTTAGTGGCCCCACACACACACACACACACACACATGCACACACACTAATACACAAAAGGGGAAACTTACAAGAGGCGTGTTGTAAAAGAGGCCGTATCTCATCCTCGGGAGGAGGGAGAAGAAGGCATCTTTAAAACACACCTGTGGACAAGAGTGAACAAATCAACCAAGTGAGCATTCAGAAATCTGTTATGTCACGCAAATGTTGTTGCTTTCACAAATATTGAAATGATGATGCTGGGTTGGGTTGGCTGCTGTAAACATCCAACCCAGTGCCAGGGGTCGGTGTCAACACTAAAGGCTTTTAAATTAGCTTCAATAGACGAAGACTACCAACCAATTTGGGTGGTTATTACTAAACAACTATACTTGAGTAAGTGATGAGTTCAAGACCGATATAAAACAGGAGCGTGCGATGACCACACAGAAGTGACATTCCACCTACTCTTTTCGAGTCATAGGTCTTCAAGTGGATGATGTCATCTTCCGAGAAGGCCCTCCATGTTTCACTGAACAGATCACCATAACCATAAAAACTCTGGGAAAAGACATAAAAAAAAAAGAAAGGAACAAATGTTAATCAAATTAATGTTACGTCTGAAATGAAAAACAAACCAATAAAATTAGAATCAACTACAGCCTTAAGCTCTGCCTTCTGTTTTCAAACTCTGCTGGTTGTGTTTCTCTGAAGCTGTGGTCTTATACAAAGTCTGTTATCACACTATTATCTGCCAGCCTGCCACTGTTTGGATTACAGTGTGCGGTTTGTGCTGAAAGGTCACTGCTTTCCTTCTCCCTGTCACTTTTCTCTCCTTCCCTGTTCCTCTTCCCCTCTGTGCACAGTCAGGGGAACAATGGGCCGGATAAAGCTGTCTGTAAAGCATTCTGTTTTTCAAATTGGTGTTTCCCCCTTGATGTCTACGTCGGGCACATATGCCACTGACTTGTTAAACAAAACCTGTGACTGAAGTGCACTGCAGACAAAAACATTGTTTGGCTTTCCCCGTTGGGTTATAGAACTCAAATCCAATCTCACTTTTCAGACACTTTTTTTTTTTTTCCATCTGTCTTGGACACAAAGCTCTGTCAGTATTTGTATGACTCTCTGTGTTTTCTGTGTTTTTTGAACAATAACATCAGAGAGGGTGTTTTACAGAGGAAGAAAAGCTCAAATATACGCCTGCATCTGACAAAATGATCGTATGCGTCAGCATTTTGAGATGTTGAGTTGTATCGTTGTGACCCAAGAACAGATGTATAGCTAAAAGAGGAAGTCACCAATTCACCAGAGGCAGCTGGACAAATGTAAAATCCTGCCTTGTGTGTCATTTTGACAGTGTACACTGTGTGCTGGTTAACCTTAAATAGAAACAACAAATTAAGAAATATCTAGATTACACCCTTGCCTCCATTGACTCTGTAATGGGAGACAGCAGGTACCCACCGTGTCCCACATGATGATGTTGATGTCTGAGCTGAAGGAGTTGTTTATGTGCTGGGAAATGTAGAGGTTGACAAAGTCACAGAAATGGTGGTACATGTTCACCCCTGTTAGGAAAACACACAAGTATTATTTTAGTGTTTTTAGAAAGTGTGAGTGGAATCCTTGCTATCCCACATTGTACATAAGAGCATGTGGTATTGTGTTTTTTTCACGAAGGTACAATAAGAGTAAAGGTTTTAGCTACTTGTTTAGGTTGCAGGACTTTGAATTAAAGGGGGGCATATCAGTGCTTGTGCACATTTATTTGGGTATCTGGAGTGCCTTCCAATCCACAAACTGTGAAATGAGACAACCCAGACAGTGTTCTTTGGGCTGCCTATGTCAGAAAACATGTGATTCAACAAGCCATTCAGATTTGGCTCCCCTTCCTATGACACATGCAGGCACGTTAGAATATACCGCCACCCATCTGACTGTCTCCACCCACAGCTTAAGAACTACCTTAACTAGGGGTGCAACGGAAACGGACTAGAAAAGCATTAATGCAGATGTCCTGATCACATATTTTTACTGACTATCGGCCGATAACCATCATGAGTAAAACTTTATTTCACACTGTGATGGTTAAACTGTGTAATTAATCCGCGGTTCATATGCATGCCGAACTGTGAGGGGGGATCCGTACAGATCACGGATCGACAATGATCTGTTATACCACTAACTTTAACATAAGGTGCACCATATTTTTCTCGCAAAGCCAGACTGGGCTTTTCGGGGATGCATCAGACAGACAGAATGAGAAAAATAAGTTTTTTTTTGAAAACTGAAGAAAGTAAAAATAGTAGAAACCCTAAAATACAAGAATGAACCTATAAATTAGCATTATATGACCTTTAAGTCATGTAAATCTTTATTACCTACCAGCATCCAGTTTCATGAAGACAGAGGGCTTTTCAATGACAACGTCACAGTGTCCATCCTGTATGGGATGAAAGTCCAGCTCTGTGTATGTCTGCAGCTCAGCATACCTACAAAAACAGCGCAGCACATGAAGTTAGTATCATAAACACAATTGTAAAAACTCTGCATGAACATGATGGCACGCCATGGAAACAAACATTACAACCCCAAAACGGGGATGTGACTTCCTTAAAGCTCCTTTGGGATGTGATTGGAAAATGTCTGACTTTGGGTGCTGCCAGTTGAAGCATCAACAAATTGTGACGGACAGCAATTCACCAAAACGGGGATGTTTTGGGGTAACTACAGATGCTTTCATACAAAGTATTGAAGTAGGTGTGCCATCGACGACTTAAGATTTTAATAAGAAACCTTCCTGAAAATGTTAACACATGATTTGGAAAGGGCTAGTTCATTAGGCTTGATAGTGATTGATAATGTGATTTGGGCTTTGCTTTCACACCACAGTTGATTACAGAGTTACAATCGTAATACTTGATTGCAATGCATCCTTCAGTATAGCGAACATTCACTACACAGGAACCTCACGGGCTAAACGATATCAGAAGCTTCAATTCAGCAACAAACAAGAAATTTTGGTCCTTGCTCCATTATTTCTTTTTCAAAGATGGCTTAAAGTGTAAGTTACCAAATTAATCAACTTGATTAAAATAATCAAGATAGGAAACCTGACAAGAAAATTTACAATACAGGAACCTCGGTTGCTGACAAAACCAGGCCCTAAAATCAAGAGAAATTTGACTGCGGAGTATGGGATTTACTGCTACAATAGCTCAGGTGCGTCTGATTGAGACAATTATTGGAGGTGTTGAAGATTAGCCCAGTTCACATCTGTGTAATAGAGTTCAGGCCCCCATGTAGTCTTGACTATTAGTTATAAAACAGGGCAAAAATTACATTCCCTGACCGGAAATCGAACCTAGGCCGAGGTGGTGAGAGCGCCGAATCGTAATCACTAGACCACCAGGGAACCATTTTCCTAAATGCAACACCCGAAACGGTCACATGTAGAGCAGTACACTCACTGAATCAAGTCTGTTCTGCACATGTCTACAAATATACTGTATATGCTGTGGTATAGGAGTTACATTTTATTTGTATCAGTGAGGTGAGGACTGACTCATGCATTCATATCTTCCAGCAAAAAAAAAAAAGGTACTTGCTTGTCCAAACCATTTGGTACCTTTAAATGTAGTATGCATTGTTGTGCGCACTAAATATTTAGTTGTTGTTTTTTTTGTCCCGTGCTTTAAGAGCGTGTTTAAAGGCTAACGCCTGGCCTAGCATACTGCAAAATAAATCGATTCATAAGTTTGAACACAGTATGCAGTATGTACTGTATACGGCATACAGCCTTCATCCGTAGTATTTAGTAGGCAGTTTCGAATACAGACAATGACTCTGACCGCAAGCCCGCTGGCAGACCTGCTGCGAGATGTGGCTGGCCAACTTCAGAGCTCTCTTCTGTTTGAACGATCTGTTCGAACTGTATGTAAGAAGTGGACGTAGTCATCGGGACGTCACCCATTGCTTTGTGGATCGCCGTTATGAAGCCAACATATGGGACCCTATCTTCCATGTATGATGTATAAAAGCCTTTTTTCTGTTATATCATCTTACGTTCCTGTTTTCATTATTTTCAATTTCTTTGACGTGTCATGTTATTATCTGAGTCAGTGATTGCCTCTCATTGGTTGGGAGTTCACAATAAGAGATTATGAACTGCTGCATTACATGCACATTTTGAGCAGGAGGAAAACATTTAACGAGCCAGCCAGGAGTCGAACCTAGAATCTTCTGATCCGTAGTCAGACGCGTTATCCATTGCGCCACTGGCCCGCTTGCCCCCTCTGAGCTTCAACCTCCCCTCCTCCCCGCATTCCTGACTGGCCCTGTCTCCCCTTTCCGGACTGCTTTGAGAGGGAGCAATGTGTGTTCCAGTAGCTTAAAAGTCTTTGAATACATCATATGTATGTTGTGATCTCGGAGTTACATTGTATTTATATCAGTGACGTGAGGAGGACAGACGTCATTAGTTCTGTTTAACAAAACAAGGTCACAACTCCCGCTGTGTCATTGATCTTTTGAAATCACAATGGGTGCTAGTTTTCTTTAATTCATACAATCACCAAGTCTCTATGGCAGTCGAATGGGGGAGGCTACTACTCCTACTGGGATCACGCCACATGCCTTTGTGTCTGTAACAGATTTAGCAGCCATCTATACACTGTCCTCCCTGAGAGGGACCCAAGAGGCAGGACATTAACTGCCTCTACGCTGTACAGAACAGCTAATACCTAAAGAGGCCTGTTCAGCAAAATTCTGGCAATACAGTGCACAGAGCACCAGCTAGTGACAGTCTGTGTTACTACAATCAGAACATCCCATACTGCCTCTTGTCACACAGGCTATTCAATCCACAAAGGCATTTCCCTGGTGGTCTAGTTGTTAGGATTTGACGCTCTCACCACTGTTGCCCCGGTAAGATTCCCGGTCAGACTGCAAGACCCAGAGCGTGATGCGAAACACCTGGCTGTCGCTGATTGGTTATCAGTTTAGTCAACAAACCATGTTTAGTAGAAAATCCTAATTTATTGTGTAATTGTAATATTTGACACTAGAATGGCTATTAGTCTCACGCTGTGCAATGAAGGTTTAGTTTGTTAACAAACGGAAAATTACAAAGTGTTTTACACAACAGCTTTGGGTCATCGCTCCCTGCTGCCAGGGGCCTGGGTTCGATTCCCGGTGTGGGAACATGCTTTTAGCCTCGATTAGTGACTATAAACCCGTGTCTCTTTTAATTTCCAAGAGCTCACACCAAAGTCATTGGATTGAGCTCAGTAACTGAGTGAGTGAATGTGTGTGTGTCCTGCCTCACCAAGATTGCAAGGGGCTCTTGTGCTCTCCCTCGGCAGCAAGTGATCGTTTGTTCAGTCGGCAACAACCACCGATCTCACCCGTCTGAATGAAGTCCTCCCTGTATCTGCAACATAAACATGGATGAGGTTGTGTCGGCATAATGTTTTATTCATGTGCATGTCACTTTCAAACATACTGACCGCTCATGACTTCTGCGCGGCTTCCGGAGGTCCAGGTAGAGGTTGGTTGCCTTACAGAAGCGAGTGTGGCTGCTACATCTTAACGATGAGTCCCCCTGGAAAAATATTAGGAGTAAAATAATATTCAGTGTTCAAGTGATATTAACTCTGGACCTTAGATTGTGAAAGCTGTCTCTATACTATACCTCCCCAACATTACTTCTTTTGAACAGCGAATTATGTTGAGGTCTATTGTCTGTGGACTCTTTTGTTTCAGTGTCTGCCTGTTGTTTCTTCCTGTTGGCTCGGTAGGCCCGTGGGAACTAAGGAAGTGTGCGGACTTACTGGCTTGCTGGCCTTGCAGAGTGTTTTGAGCTCAGAGAGGCGCTCCTTGACGTAGCCAAAATCAGCCTGCTTCCAGAAAAGCTCCTGGGCTGCCTCCAGAGAACGGGCCCTGACAGATCACAGATTTAGCCAAAACCATAATGGTTTCATCAATGATGCATGCTATGAATAAGTACACTTTTACTTTGGAAAAACGTATGTGGTTCAGTAATTTCAATACCTATGAATAAAAGATTTATATTATTTGTTAAATTTAGGATTGCTGAACACCTCACACATCTTGGATGGCTGCGAAGAAAATGTGTAAAGTAAATTATGTGACACGCAATCATCTGAGAATGACAAATTCAGAACGTAAAGTGTGGATATGATGTGAGGAACAGTACCATGCGGAGTCAGCTTTGGTACAGACTGGATAGCTGAAGCGCTTCCCTGGATCACAGTTGTTCTCGTAGCCCCAACAGGCAGGCAGATCCTGCAGTGCATCCTGTTGTAAAACCACGTATGTGAAGTGTGAATATATACATGTGTGTGTAGGTGTCTAAAACCCTAGGGGTCCGCGGAGGTACTGCAGGGGGTCCGCGAAATTTTTGGTTGATTAGACAATTAAAGAAAAAAAAAAAATGTTTTGTTTTTTTGCCCCCCAAACATGAATCTGTCCATTATTTTAATGGTTCAGTATTGTATGCAAGATAACAGGTATGTTTATGCATGGCAGTGGCACTAATAGGCCATCACTCATTTTTGTTTCCACATTTATGTTTAAAATGAAAACATCAATTTGAATAGCTTGTATGCATGATTATCATGCAATTGACAGACAATGTTGATATTGACATTGGTATCAGCTGACAAGGTATGTTTATAAATGGCAGTGGCAAGGCCACCCTACTCACTGTACCTTGCACATGTTTAAAATAAAAACATGAATATATGAACCTGTGTATTGTTTGAATAGCTTAGTATTGAATGCACAATAAAGAGGTATGTTTATACATGGCACTAGGCCCAGTTTAATATAAAACACAATTTTATACAATATATATAGTCGGGGGTCCCTGCTCCATCTCTCTATCAGTTTGGGGGTCCTTGGCCTGAAAAACGTTGAAGACCCCTGCTCTAAGTCATTTTTAGGACTTTTTTACACAACACATACACAGCAAGTTTCATGTTGTTATGAGTCACGATCTAAATCTCAAGGCACTTGGCAGTCAAAAGGGCTTTTTGAAAGATTTTCCTCACATTACAGCGAAACTAACTAACGTGTTACGGCTCTAAAAGTTGACAGAGTGCATATCTTACTTTAAAAGGGCAGAGCGGGTCCAGGCGGCATTGCTTGGCGACCCTCTCGTTGTTGTAGAGGAAGTAGGGTACGTGCTCCGGCGGCAGGGAGATCCTGCTGTGGTTGAGCAGTGGTGCTGGTGGCTTGTGGTTGATGTTCTCAGCCTTCTCAGTGGTGACCACAGCGAAAGAAGAAATGATGCCCAGCGCTACCAAGAGCAGCATAGTCAGAATTACACAGACATGGGAAATAGCTGCTTCTCTTCACAGCCCTCTGAGGAGTAAAAAAAAAAGAGAGAAGAAGAAGTGGCGAGACAGAGAGACACGGACACAGACTCAGACTTGCACTCTGTAATCTTGCTTGAAAGCGAGACACTGCAGTTTACAAGCATTTGGCCACAAGCAAAGTGTGTGGGGAAAGTAGCTCTAGGGGATCTGAGCGCCTCATGAGGAGAGGTCCTGTTGCAGGATGTATTACTGACCTTTTTCCGACTGTTGTCTGAGCAATCATAAACTGAGACTGAAGGAACAAATGAGAACTGCTGGCTGGGAACAATGGGACCTAAAGTATTACTATATTTCCATGATCCATGTAATTTAAGTCTGGAGTTTGCATCGTGCTTACACAGCCCAAAGCCAGTTACATTCTTCACACCACGAAATAAAATAATATTACAGTGATTAATGTTATTGCACTAACCACACTGGATGTGTTTTTATAACAAGGGCTCATAAATCGTTGCACATCTAAAAGGAGCTGAGAAGGAGTGGCGTTGCTGTGTATAACTTAAAACGTTTATAACACCCTCTAAACAGTGGGCTTGCTAACGACAGGTAGTTATATAATCACCAGTCATTAAGTACACATGTTCTCAATGAGTTACTTACAAGTATTAGTTACTAATAAGGGTTAAGTAACAGTTAAAACATTCTTTGCTACGGGCGTAATGTCTGAAACAATGGTGCCGCTTTGACATAACGGCTGCTTTAATATAACGGCTGCTTTGACATAATGGCTGCTTTAATATAACGGCTGCTTTGACATAACGGCTGCTTTAATATAACGGCTGCTTTGACATAACGGCTGCTTTGACATAACGGCTGCTTTAATATAACTGCTGCTTTGACATAACGGCTGCTTTGACATAACGGCTGCTTTAATATAACGGCTGCTTTGATAAAACGGCTCTATAAGATACTTCAGGAGTAAAGCTAACGTTACATGTGAAAACCGTTAAAAACACGAGGCTGCCGAGAGTCTTCTTGTGCCTAATTATCTAAGGTTTACAGTTACTGTCGAGGTTTTTTTGTCCCCCTAAATGTTAACTTGTTATATCCTCCCATATCTTTGTCGCGCGTCGGCTCTCAAAGAAGTCAACATGACTTTGGCCAGCTAATGAGCTAAAATATGCTAGTATCAAACTTTAAGCTAGCGTCAATTAACAGTTAGTTAACTCAGCTTTGAGATAACGTTCACGCAACCCGCCAGGACGAGTCGGGGACTTGATAGGCATGTGAGATAAGACTTGATATGCCGGGATAATAACGCATTACTTACTCCTGTTCTTTATCAGGGGGTATAAAGTCTTAAGTATTTATGTAGCGGCTAACATGTCACGTTGGCGTTAGTTCTTTACAAAGCCAAGACCCCTTCACGTTAATTTAAGTTACAGATTTGGCTGCAAAAGAACAAGAGCAAGGACATGTGCAACATTTCCACGGTGTAAAAAACGTGTGACGTGCACATATCTGTCCATCAGTGGTCGCTTGAATTTGGTTAGTTTCAGTTTGAGTGTAAGGAGGTTTCAGTACCTGAATGCATAGCCGGCAATTCTCCAAACTGAAGCGATGGTGTTGCCGGTGGTCGCCATAACACCGGAAACCTTGTGGCGGGTTGTAATACGTAGCGACGGCCGCAGGGTGGCGCTGTGGACCACACTTTGTCCTTAAGAGTACTCTTAAAGCCTAAATGGTTTCTTTTAATTAAGAAAATGTAAATGACATGTAAAAAACATGAAAATGTAAATGATATCAAAACCAAGATAAATCATCTATTAATTAGGTAGATGAAAGACTGAGCTCAGAAAACTCTTAAATGGTAAAACCTATTATCAGATTGTTCAACATTACACAATTGTATCAAAATGTAAACGATTAAATGTTTCCCTTAACAAAAAGCACAACAACTGTTCCTGTGTAGATTATGTTTTATACGTTTCACATATAAAATGATTGTTAATTTAAATAAAAGTGTATCGGTCACACTGTCACAAGTTATGCTAATCCTGTGTGATGAAATATTGATTGAACTGTATGAAATAGTTCAGAACATGGAGATTTGGGCCTATTTGAAGACTTTTGCACAGCATTGAGATAATGAAGTATTTTCAATGAATGTAATGAAAATGCAGACTTCTAATGTGTGAACCCACATAATTCAAATTAAGAATCATAGTATTTCTCACCACCCAAATAAATGTTTATTCATTTACATATTTATAAAAAAGGTTTAAAATCCAATCTTTCTCCCACTGGATTTCAATCACAGACTACTCTCCGGTCTACACCACATTCTGTGATTTGGAAGGACATAAGAACGATACATAAAATTCTCTGTACAATATTGTTTTATATAGTTCTTAAACCATTCTGATTATGCATTAAGAAATGAACAAGGAAGAATTTGTATAGTGCAAAAAAGCTTGACCATCTCCCAACAGTTATAAACTGTTTATACAATACTATGTAAAGGTTTAAACATGAGACATTACGCCAAAAGCAAAGTTCGTAGAAAGTGCCAAATATTTCCAATGGACACCTGAATCACAAACTGTGACTGTCCTTCATACTGATTCTGTAAGAATATATTGTATGTTGTGCATAATCCCAACATTCCCACATAAATATAGCATGTGATAATTAATGAAAATAAAATGGATAAAGATGATGAGCTTTCTTTTGACACAGTGATTAAACTAAATCCTCTACATATTCTTTTTCGGGTGAATGCATGATGGTCGATTGGTTTGTTTGTGAGAGTCCCAACAGTAACACAGTTACAAACGGTTTATTTCTGGTTCTTCAGCAGTTCATCAATCTGGGTTTTGTACATGTTCTTCACATCTTCAAGGTCCAGTCTCAGCTCCTCTGCCTCTTCAGCCTTTTCTCCGTACATCTGCAGGATAGTGTTGTGCCTCTGCTCCAGCTCCTGCAACGCACAGCCCCACACACACATTAGAAGAACCTCTGCAAATACAGCATCAAGGTATCCTGTATCTGCTTTCACAGCCTTTACCTTGAGTTGAACTTTCAACGAGGGGATCTCCTGCACCATCTCCTCCATCTCATCGTTTTGATTGGTGAGTCGGACCAGCTCTTCTGCCATTACAGCGCGACTCCTCTCTAGACTGGAGATCTCAAGCTGCAAAAACAGGAGGACAGGAAGCGGGTACAAAGCTGGGTTTTAGTGCAGAGCATGACCCGTTGTTTTCTATCAAAATGTTCATTTTCCTGTTGATGCGTTTGGTTTTACCACATTTAAAATTGTAAGGAAACATTGTAGATTTGGCCAGCCTTCTGTCTGGTGACATGTAGCAGAACTATCAAACTAATACATACATTTTTAAGAAGCTTTTACGTGGCTTTTGTTCTGAATTGCTACCTGCAGTTGTGCCATCTCTCCTTCTCTGAGCTTGAGCTGAGACTGGAGGTTCTCTACGAAGCTGGAGCCTCCAGACAGCCTGGCGGCCTCGTACAGGTTGGTCCCGCTCATCGTCATCGACATGGTCATGTTACCCAAAGAGTGGTCTAAACAGTCATCCTGTGGAAGAATAATACAAAAGTACAGGGCCGGTCAAGCTACACATATCCACGCACGCACACTAATCATCACCATCATTATTACTCCCAGCATGTACCTGGGAGAGCATAGAGGTGTGTAGAGCAGCAGTGTCTGCCCCACTGATTGAGCTAGAGCGGGACAGGGAGGGTGTGGAGGAGGCTGGAAGCTCTCCTACAGAGTGAGTCATGGTCTTCCGCTCCTAATGAGAGAACATTTCACAACATTTAGAGAACAGAATCAAGACATCTTAACTGTCTAAATTGAGAAATTCTGATGAAACAGACTAAAGATTGATGATCTCTAAATCATCCTAAACCTTATCCTTGAGTGCCTCATGTGCCAGGTAGCATTTCTTCTTCTCTTGCTCCACCTTCATCTTCTCCATCTCTAACTGATTGGTCAGCAGCAGCTGGTGGAATAAGCAAAAAAAAACGATGCACGTGAGGGAGTTGTTTCTTTAGAGGAGAACAACAAGAGTAAGAGGGAGCGTTAAGGTACCTTTTCTTTCTTGGCGTCTTCTAGCATCCGGATGTGTTCTCCTCGCAGATTTTCCAAATCGACGTGCTCCCTACGTTGAGATAACGAGCAATAAGTCACGACAAACAACCAACCGTATCACAGACACAAAACCGGTGAAATACCCCTGTGACATACCTAAAATGAAATGAACACAAAAGTGTGCAATATAATGACAATTCTCTTTGAGCTTTTCCACTGAAAAAGCAGCTATACTGTTCCCCAAGCAGCCACAAGCTGTATACAACATTACTTTAAGTAGTCATACTTTCAGACAAATTTACACCTTTCAGTATGAGCTAAAAATGCCCCGAGGTAGCCAGGGGTCAAACTTAGTATCTAATCAAATGCGTTAACCATTGCACCACTGGCCCATTAACGGTGACTTGACATCTCACAAAAGTTAACGGTGTGGCAGAAAGGCCAATGTGTGCATGCATGACTGCTTCTGCCAGGGGAGGTCCCCCTGGCCTCTGCTTCACACTCTGAATCACAGATGGGTTTGTTGTGAAACAAAAACACTCTCCAGGAATCATTAGCATTACAAGGGGAGATGTGGTGTGACTGTAAGTGTTGTTGTAACAAGAGAAACTATACCAGTAATATTCACACATATGTATCTGTAAAACATCCAACAAATGTTAGATAATCAGGGTAAAAATGCAGTGAATGCAGCATAAAATTCACAGTCTACTGATGTTTTAAAATAAGGTTTCTGGAAACAGTGACACAAAAAAACTAACTTCAGACAAGACAAAACTCAACCATGCATCCTCTCATCTATCTAATGCCACACATTCATGAATAAATGCCTTGATAGAAAACTAGTACAAGTAGAAAACAGGATTAGTGGCGATGGCTGGATGTACCTTATCACTTAACATTGTAGGCTTGAGTTTTAAGTTGTGATTTGTTACCTGCTGCTCTCATCCTCAAGTTTGTCTCTCTTGTTCTTCTCAGCATCCAGCTGTGCCAGGAGTCGGGCCTTGTCCTGACGGAACAGGGAGTTCTGGGACTCGAGAGAGGCCAGCTGGGACTTGATGGACAGAAGGTCTTCTGTGGCGGATCGCTCCTTCTCCACAGCAACAGCCAGCTGTGCCTGGGCATCCGCTGGTGAAAAAGAAAAGGGAGATAAAAAAAAAAGAAAGAAAGATGTAAAGCTTTTCGCTTACTTTGTACAATACTGGATGGTGGTGTTTGTTTTACACATAGAGTAAAACTCCTCTTACCTAGCCTATCAGAGATGCTCGTCTCCAGTTTTTCCCAGGATGCCGTCTGTCCGCCCAATGAGGCCTGTAAGTTCTCAATCTGTCGCAGTAGGGGTCGTGTTGCAGAGGTAACACTCTGACTGAGCTCCTGGTTCCTCGTCTCTGCCTCCTGAATCCTCTGTGGAAGATGAAAAGAAATAAAAACCGGTGTGCATTAAGTTAAATAAATTCTGCCCTGGTCAAAATTCTGGGTATTTCTACTTCTTGCCAAAGGGAACCAGCTTGGTAGGACATCTTCTACTCATCATATTATGTTACCTGCTGCAGCTCACTGATCTCCTCCCTCAAATAATCTTCTTTTCTTGCTTGCTGTTGCTCAGCCCTCTGCAGAGCCAGTCTCAGGTCCGCCACCTATATACAACATTAAAGAGAGTTAATAAAGGTTGTACTGTTGAACTTTGCAGGGTTTCAAATGAATGTCTAATACAGAAAATAAGGAACACTAAATCAGAAAGGCTTGCTTTCATGTGTGAAATTAAATACAAAATACCATATTAGCATGCTTTATTGACTTTGGTAACTGATTATTTCTGTCTAGCTTAAGTAGCGTCTTCAACAAAATGATCAAGAACATGCTGTAGACATTCACTACAATCACCAAAGCAATTTTGAGAATGAAACAAAATCTGGGTATAGTGATGGAATCACACACCGTCAACCATGTGTGCTTGTGTGAGTGAGTAATCATAACAGGCAAATGTTTGGTTATGGGCCGCAGCATCTCCTGTACTACAGGAGATCAAACAATTAGCAGCAAATAATAGCTGAACAACTGACTCCCATTTGAGGTTTATTAAGGCTGCACCAAAGCCTACTGCAGTGTAACGTATGCACGGTGTGCTGGGTTGCTCACGCAGCAGCAAACTAGCAGATCTGATAAGCGTTCAACGCATGCATGCCAAACAGATGTGTCTACAGCCCAAACTTGTGTTACCTGATTGGCAAGCGCCTCTTGGTGCATCCTGGCCTCCTCCTGGGCCGTCTCAAGAGTCAGGCTCAGCTGCTCCTTGGCCTGCGTTTCCCTGCTAAGGGCCGCCTCTTCGGCCTCACTCGTTCTGCTGACGTGTGCCTTGTGAAGTCCTGCCAGCTCCCTGACAACAGAGACGTCGAAGTAGACCATCAACATCACAACCCTATTACAGTGCCGTCCCTATTTCAAAGAACAGTGGGACATTTGCTGTTCTTGGGCTCTGTACTTCAGCACACTGGAGCTGAAATGAAACAATGACGATGGGGTATTTATTATTCTAAGTATATGCTAATTTGTACGATTTCTCTCTGTCCCCTTAAAACTGGGGGACTATGTATAAAAGTGGTTACAGTTACTGTTCACTCAGTGTCGATGTAAACGTCTCCAAATAAAAAGGTGGAAGTCAATACGTTAACCTCAATTTTCATTGCATCATTTTAAATCCAATAAACTCAAGTACCTCACAATAAATGTGTCACTTTTTAAATACTTCATCTGCACTGTTTCCTCTGCCAACCATGAAATAATACAATGAGATGTGAAGTACAATTGCTGGCTTGTGAGATTAAATGTAGGGTAAGAGTTCTCGTTGTTCTATTCAGTATCAACAGAAGGGTGTGTCAGTGTTTACTTATACGAGCCGTCCAGAGCAGCCTGGAGGCTCCTGTTGTTCTCCTGCAGCTCCTCAGAGTCCGTCTGCAGTCTGCTCAGCTCCTTCTCCTGCCGCTCCACCACAGCGTTCAGCTTCTTGATGTTCTCCCTGTGCTGTTTCTCCACCTCTTCTTTCCCATCTAGAACCTAAACACACAACAAAAACACGCAGCCATGATTATACTACATTTGGTTATTTAAGATAATCAGAACTATATAATAGTGAGAAGTGCTGTAACTGAGGAACAGATGTCAAGACTTTGGGGGAAAACAAACAATGTTTTACATATGTTGAAAGAAGAGAAAAAGATAGCGGCATTAAAAGTGGTAAATCAAAGTCAATTTAAAATAAAACTGGAAATTTAATTTAACACTAAATTGAAAAAAACTAAATCGGACTAAAATGTAGATACGGTTCCTCTGAATCAAAATTGATAGTAACTGATAATGACAACTTCTTCACATATCACCAAACCTCAAAAGTGTAATTTCCCGATTGCAGGGAAAACATTCATTCTCTGTACTAAAAGCTGACCTGCTGCAGTTGCCGGAGCTCCTCCTCCTGCTCCTTGATTTTCCTCTGCTGCTTGGTGATCCTCGTGTCGCTCTCCTTCTCCTTCACGCGCAGTTTCTTGATGATGTTGCTGTGCTGCAGCTGCTGCTTGGACAACTTTTCGCCTCAAAAGTAAACAAAAATAAACACAAGATGCTGAGATGACACCCACTATGCCTGAGCAATATTTCAGGAACAAGCTGTTCATTCGAACATTCACGCTCTACTGCTACAAGATTGATGCGTGCATAATGTCTTCCCTGATAAATTATATCCTACGATTTTTTCCATTAATTCATAACCTCAGTCAAATAATTACAGACGAGTCTTTCGGGGCTTAGTGCTGTACAGTAGAAGCAGCTTTGGTACTATGCGAGACCGTCCTGGCTTTGTGGCGAACATTTTCTCGACTCTACATTCTGTCTAGAGTGGTATTCTGTGGGTTGGTCGACTGGAAGAATTACAGTCTGCTATATAATTTAGTCTTACCTTCTTCCAGCAGGCCTCTGATCTGCTCCTCCTTCTCTCTGATGATCTCTAGTGTATCACTGGAGTGAAGTCTTGTAGAAAGCTCTTCTCGCAGGCCTTTTATTTCCTGTAGCATAGAGAGAAATGTCATCTTTCACTTTGGACATCTTAGATTTGGGATTTAAACATACAAGTAGATAAATATGGGTTTGTTGTAAAAAGAATAAAGCATTTGTAGCTCTTGGAGAACTATCTCGGTTTGCTGCTGAGGGAGAGCGGAGCCTCAGATTATTAATATATGAATTACCTTCTTGGCTATGTCTCTTTCTTTGCATGCCAGCTGAGCCTTCCTCTCTGCATCTGCTATGCGCTGCGTGAACTCATCCTTTAGGGACTGAACAGTGGAGCTCTCCTCCTTCAGGCTTATCACTTCACTAGAGGATGAACGGACTCATTAGTGGAAGAGCTCATTGTCAAAAGCCGTACAGCCTCAAAGCGAGGATGGCTTGTAAAGCTCTGCAGGAGTAGATTATTTAAAGCATTTAACAATCACTGTGACTTCATGAAAACATCACTTGATATATTCAGCATTATCTCTTCAGTGTAGTTACAATAATTACAAAAACAGCTTTCTTATCAACCTTATGTATTTACAGTGCCATTGTGCACCGTGTGTGTGTGTGTGTGTGTGTGTGTGTGTGTGTGTGTGTGTGTGTGTGTGTGTGTGTGTGTGGCGTATACTCACTCTTTGAGATTGTCACACTGCTCCTCCAGTCTGGCCTTGTCTTTGCTGACTGCCAACAGCTGAGACTCTCTCATCTCAAGGCGGCCTGATAGCTCGTCAATGACCTACAACATGTCCACAACATTTGATTGTGTCTCAAACAGCAGAGGCTGAACATATAAATGTCACTCATGAGGTTTAAATATACGGTGAGTTTTACAGTTCGTACAGCATAACAAATTCTGGGACTAATGGGAGAAATACTGATATTTGACACAATGTTTTTGAACAAAAATGCTTACAATATATGGGCAGATATTTTAAAATACACTAGTGTTCAATTGTCTTCAACCACATGGCAAAATTGTGATTAAAGCTATTAGACAGGTGAAACATAAAGTCTTGCTCCGGACAACAAGAACGGAAGAATTCATAAGATGATATGGAAATGTGATGCGATAATGTAGCAAAGCTATTCACTTCTATTTTGCATGAAGGCTATGCAAAATACTGAGCTGGTAGAAATGCATTAGTTGTTACCCCAGAGTTATTTACCATGATCCATGCAGCTATATTGACTTTGTCAACATACATAAACATATATGTAAATAAAACTAATCTTTACGATTGATACCGTTCGCTACCTAGGAACACAATGATTATGCTACCTTTTGAAACTCCAAAATCTGAACTGTTGAGACACTTTTCATCTCTTCTGTGATTGGTGGAGTGATCTGTTGCTCGGCTTTGGAGGTGGGATCAGACAGAGCGCCATTAGCCTCAGATTCCTGTTCCGTCAACTCTTCAGGCTGCTCACTATTGACAGGCGTAGCGCTCCGTCCACTCTCCTCCATCTCATCCAGCGACTGCTCCATCATGGTTTCAGTAAAGCCCTCTTCTCCTTCATCCTCCACCACTCCATCTTCCTGCTTCTGGCATACGGCTGACGACACTGTTAAAAGAGGAGGGTCTGCAGTGACGGACGCCAGTGTCCGACTGCCAGGGACGTCATCATCCGAGTTAACCTCACTGACACTCCGGCTATCCAACGACTGCATGCTGAATGAATCTATGCGTTCAAATGCATCCGAGGAGGAGCCAGAGCTCTCTGTGAGTTTGGAATAGTCCTCCAGACGGGGGAAATCTCCACAGGTGGAGGCAGTGAGAAGCTGGAAGGAGCCCTGCATCAGGTGAAGGCCAGCCTTGCCCTCCCCCGTTTCCTGTCTGGAGCTGGCTGAGCTCTCACTCAACACAGACTCATGGTCAAGCACTTCAATGTCACTGGTGGTAGAGGTTCCTGAGGAGAAAGCGCTGACTGGTGGAGAGGGGGTATCATTTTGACGGTCCTCCCCCTTTGAGTCTTTATGCTCTACGAGTACTTCCTTAGGTGGCGGGGAGGGCAAAGGATCACAAGGTGGAGAGCTCAGAGGTGGAGAGCTCTTAGGTTCAGAAGTGACCGCAGCAGGTTCTAGTGAATCTGTAGTATCTTGCTCAGTCTGGTGATCTGATGGAGTCTGTGACGGCTCCGTTTTTGTGTCTGAAGACACTGCAGAGCCAACATCTGTCTTTTCACTGCTCTTGTCGCTGTCAGGGTTACAAGGAAGGTCGCTGGAAGAAGATGGAGAAAGTGGCTGCAGGAGGATGGTGTCTGCGTAAAGTGCTGCTGGTTCGGACTCCAGCTCAACTGGCTGGCTCTCAGCTACTGTCTGATTCTCACGACTCTCATCAGCAGGTGCTGACTTTTGAGTCTCCACTTCTGTTAGTGCCACAGCGTCTTCGCTGTTTCTCCTTTCCTTCTCCTGGGGCCGCCTTTGAGACTGAGCAGGGGGTGCAGACACCACCTGGGTGATGGAGACACCATGTACATCTCCGGGAGGCAGAAAGGTAGTGAAAAAGTTTTCGGATTCATCCACAACTGTGCGGGTGACAGGCGTAGTGATGGCCTCGGAGGAAGGAGGAGGAGTGGTGGTCTTTTCCTCAGGGGGCGCCTCCCACTGCGTCATTCCCCATCCTCCACTCAATGACAGCTTCCCAGGTATGGTGACATCTGACAGAAAATAAATTGTACCACAAGTTGTAGCAGTAATCCGAAATTTGCATCAGGCAACATTAGCTTTTTTACTATCCTATGTTACCCTACTTACCATCAAAGGGCATTACAACCGTGTTACCCCATTGGTCCTCTTCTTTGATGTCCAGAACTCGGTCGATTGACTTCTGAGCTGTCGTTAAAGCTTGTTTGGCGAAGCTGGACAGAGATGCGTTGAACCAACTCATTTTGGGCTGTCAGGCTAACGTTAGCTTAGCTATCACCAAGTTGTGAAACGGATCTTACGGGGAAATTTAGAGTTACCACACAACGTACAGTCACTTAAACCGTGTTTGCATGTTTCATTATCAACGATAACCTGCTGCGAACAATACTTTGCAATTTCCAAATGTTGTTCTGTCCAGAAACGCTTTGTTGACCGCTAGCTAGCTACCGCTGTACTAGTTAGCAAAGCTGTAAATCAGCCAACGCATAGCGTTAAAGGGACAGATACAGTTACAGTCCGCAAACTGGCCAGTTGGCATTCAAAACCGCATGATTTCTCATGTAGAAACACAGGTATCTCTAATACCACATCTAGAACTCTACACCAATTAAAAGCAAAATAATCAGAGTTTTTTCCGGCTCCTTTGCTCGGCTGTCATCGTTTGTTTTGGTCGCTCTCAGCTTGTAGCCCCATTAGCGTTAGCCTGCTCGCTACTTCCTTTTCCACGTAGCATGGTGACGTCTCGGCCCGGTCTGACGACAGTCCGCTGGTCTGACTCGGGATGAAATCCACAAACATGCATTTTTAATATTTAACTTCCCAATTATAGGGATTAAGGATGAGTGCATTAATGCAATACGTATATTTGCGTTTTAGCCTTCTTTAGTTTATCAAATCTACATGAATACGTTTCAATTCCCACAAATTAATGTGAGTACATAAAGAAAATAGAAACTTTGTAAGAAAAACATTTTTTATTCCAGTTCACACATCATTATTATAGTCTGTCAATTACCACATCTGTGGTCTCTGAAACTAAAAAAAGCTGTGTTGGGATAAATAAATATTCAAAACCAGAACATGTACACAATAATATTTACCAAAGTAACCATTTGTTTGTCTCTTTGCTTGCACGTTAGCACACTTTAGGTTGTAGTGCAGACAACACATTAATGCAGAAATCCTCAACATTTGTATCCCCAAAAGAAAAGACATGGTATGAAATATGATTTTGGCTTTTCAGTGCAAAACATTAGTCAATAAGTACATTAAAACAATTAAATTAAGTACACTCATTTACACTGTGACTTAACACACTGTAAACGGTTCCAGTTTTTAGGCCATTTTAAATATGCTGCATCCAAGAAACAAGAATGACATCGACTGGTTGTGGGAGTGCTTGAGTTCATCCTATGAGGTAAAGCAGAGTCTGAACAACATGGTTTGGGGTGTGGTGGCATCAGCTACAGCCAGCTCTTGTCCGTTAGTCAGACCCAGCTCTGAAAAAAACATGTAGTGAGTCAGCATATTCACAGTGTATTCAGCTCACCAATTCAGAGTGTAGGCAAACACATTCAGTAAATAAAGCACCTCACCCTTCAGGGTTTTGGACAGATTTGGCCGTGTCCTCTGCTCAATCGAAGCTACAGACTGTAAGACAAAATACCAACTGAATGTAGGCTCAAACCAAAACGGGCATGATTGCATATTAATAGCAATAAAAACACAAACAAAAAAAGGTTATTTACCTGTAAATATAATGTTTTGTTCTTTCCTTCCACTGTCGCGGTTATAGCAGGTGATTTCATTTGTCTAAAGAAAAAGAGTATAATTGGTTGTTGAAGGTAATGTGTAATGAACAAAAAAATATCTAACAGCAAGCAAATATAACCATAAGTTAGGTCGGGTGGTACAGTGCAGTGATAAGTAATAAATCATAATAAGGAAGCTAAACCTACAGGGAGGCACTCTCAGTCAGGTGGTCCAACATCTCCTGGAGTTTGGAAGATGGAGAAAAGTGCAAGTCCAGAGGTATTTGGCTGCAGGCTGTACAGTTTTCCTGCATCAGAAGTGAACGTTAACATGTGTTTTATAAAAAAGGTAAATTTATCACTGCAGCAATTATGAGCTGGGCAGATGAAATTCCGGGACAAACCTTCCGTTCTGCTTCAAACGTGTAGGTGTACAGGCCGTCAACATCGTTGAAGACCATGTAGTTGTTGAGAGGTATGTAGGCACTGCAGATGCAAAAAGTAATACCATGAGAAATAATGACAAGCACGCATGGTCCATACAGATCTTCACTTTGTGCGTACGGCTGCCAAGCAGAACCTGCAAACTCACCTTGATGCTATTTTGAAAACCTCGGTTGCGCAAGCAGCTGGGTAAAATAAAATATGGAAAAAACACAGTTACCTCGGGGTACACAGTTCTGTTTACAGACAGTAACTATACTCATAACTGTTTGGAAATGATTAACTCTCAAATGGCAGAGCATACAATCTTTGATAGAGGCATCAGCTCCACAGCTCTCTAGCACACCGCCACATTTATTCAAGCTACTTACCAGCTATGACAGCATTGGTAGACGCTACAGCAGGAATTATCCTCTTTACAACACCTGCAACATTTAAATAGAATATAAAAAATATATACATTTTGTATACTAAAAATGGACAATCAAAGATATAAAAAATCAGAGTGAACATCAATAAGACATGAGAGAGAGGCAAAGGTATCAAACCTCAAAAATCATTTCGACAACAAATTTAGCCGTTTTATGTTTTTTTATGTCTTTCAGCGGAGTTGCAAGTACATGAGCGGTGTTCTGTTGGTGGCGGAGAGATGTGCCTCGTGTGCTCACCCTGGGTTAGTCTGTATGTGACTCCTGTTATGTTGAAATCTGCTGCCCTCTCCAGGGATCTCTGGTACACCCACTGGATATGCTCTGGGTCATCCCCGTCTAGGACCACACCATCTACTCCACATACACACAAACGAGAAGTTTTAAAAGCCCCTTAATGATCATTCTAAACATTACAAAGCCCATTGAACAGAAATGATGACTGCCATGTGATTCATACCTCCAAAGGGCATCTCTTTGGGCCACAGCAGCATCCGGACGTACTCAACGCAATGTTCTGGCAAGCGAGGCATTGAGGCTATTGTACACATGGGGAAGTTGATCTACAAAAACAGGTGGATTTTTTTAGCCACAACAAACAGACCAGGAGAGGATTCTGTAAGACCTCTATGTCGTGGTTGTAAACATTATTTTATGTTTAAAGAAATGCTTCCTCACCTGAGGAGGGTAAAGCTGGAGGGTACAGTCGATGCAGGCGGTCATGCCAGGGAGGATGACTCTAGCGTTGCCTTTGAAGCCTTCCGTCCCACCATCAATTAAAGGAATGATAGAACCTGGGTCTAAGACACCATCCACATACACCAGCAAAGACAGCTGCAGAGGAAGACAGAGGGTCATTACAAAAAATATGTTCCTTGTAGCACATGTACCAGCTTTGCCATTTCAAATTCAGACATTTATGTATAGGAATGCATTCGGCCAAAGTTTCGCAACAGAGATTGCAGTGAAGAGCAATAACTTACCAGCATACCATTCATCCACCTCCTGGCAAATACAGAGTCCAGTCCACAGACAATTATATGGAATTCTAGATGAATGAAAGAAAGATAAATTAATTTTAATCTAATGTCTGATGACGACAAAGTCAAAGCAGTAGGGGTGTAACAAAATCGTATGACGCAAAAACTAAATGCATTGTAGCACTGAAAAAATGGAACGCTGTATCATTTAAAATAATCTTATCAGTGGCTATATGAGAGGAACACCGCGGTTTGTTGTAGAAAGCGAACCAGTGTTCTCCAAAATAACAAGCAAGTTGCAAGTAAAATGAATGTTTGGCTCTTGTTAACTGATGAAATGGCTTTTTAGTCCGTTTCTTTTGGTCACATGTATTGTACACGGGATAGTTACACCCTCTCCCACTCCACATTAGTAAAGTTGCAACTAAAAAAAGTCTTAATGATACTTACGTCTGTAGAATGTTTCATCTATGTCTTGTATTTTCTTAAAATGTCTGCACAAAGCATTAAGGAGAAGTTTAGTTTGGAGAGAATGTCAGTGTTGCTTTCACTACCCAACAACTAACCAACTGTCTATTCTACTTTTTTTTAAATAGTGATTTTTTGACATGGGAATTAGCTGCTTGCAACATTTTACACCTTTTGATCACGTGGATTGTGGTTTGGACTTTTTAAAACAACTGCATTTATATCAAGCGTCTAAAATCTTGCAATAGTTGTTCCATCAAAAGGATACGGGACTACACAGCATCCAGGTATGCGGTTGTTGACGAAATCAGCTGCAACGTCCGCCTTGGGTCGACCTACATCTTTTGGCCTGGTCAACATCACACACACATTAAAAGAACAAATCTGACTGCTTCAAACACTACATTTATCGATAATACATGCATGAAATTTACATTTAATTTTCACGTAATTTTTCTGACCTGAAGAGAAACTGTCGATTTAGGTTTGACACATCAATGGTGTCCATGTCGACAACATGAATGTTGCGAAAGCCCGATAAAGCCTGAGCAACAACACAAACAAAAATCAAACAAAGTGTTGGCCATTCGTTAAAGCATAAATCCAAATACTTCTAAAATATAATAGTGATCCTACCAGGTCTTTCAGCAGCTCACATCCCAGACCACCAGCACCAATGACCAGGATTTTGCAGGTTTCTAGCATAAACTGCAATGACTGTGGGGAGAAGCGATGAATACATTATGTATTAAAGCAATGCAAGATGACACAGGTGACAAATAACAACAAACTTGCATGATTCCGATCCCGGTAGTTGTTACCTCTGTGCTGGGTTCAAAGTCAGGATGCGTGAAGGGCCCCGACCTTTCCAGAAACTTATTGATATGGTTCCACCGACCCTCCCACTCACAGGTGCGTCCACTGCCTCCATCCACCACCATCCTGTAGACAACAACACAAGCACATTGAGGATGTGTCATCAGCAGTATTTGATGGTTTATGGCATGCATAACATGGTTTCGTTTGATATCACACAAAAGCCTCTACGTCTACTGGGATCATGCAAAAAAAATAAAAAATCAATCAAAACCTAAACATAATACTGTGGTTATCTGTCACATAGTAAGGGCGCTATTTACAGTTCAGAGCAGGTAGTGCAGTTATTTAGCATTCACTCGTGTTCTGATGTCTGTCCTATCTGCTCTAACGTGGGTGACGTTGAGTTATTTAAATGCTCCATCAAATGTATTAAATCATATAGCATATTTATGACATGTGGGCTCTTCTGACCCTCTGGCTTTTTAATGGTTTCTAGCTTTCTTCTCTTGACAGGACAGCTCCACCGGCTGCTAGGCTAGGTGAATAGCTAGCATGTCAACTGTAAGAAGGTAGAGTATAAACCTCTAACTTTGCATAGAGGTGAAAGATACCTTCTATTTTTTTTTACTGTATAGACGTGTTAGCTACTCACGAGCAGCTGGTCAGTATTTTTTACCCTGGTCTAGACTCTCTGTACGCTCTTTATAACAAATGTCCGATTAGCTTCTTCCGATAGCTAACGTTAACCTTCACTGTGCCTGGTAACCTCAAACCTTCCGCCAGTTCTACCAATTCATCACTAACTTCTCAGTCAGCTCCACTACTCTCCTTCTTTTCTTCTCCCTAAAAAGAGAGAATAAAAGAAGGTTCATTCATGCTGTGCTTTCGTAGGTTAATGGAGATTTGAAAGCATCTTTCGGTCAGTTAATGACTGTGTTTCTTGCTTGTTTCTTCGGCAGCTACTTACGGCTCATCCGCGTCCGCCATGTTTGGCCACTTATATGCATTCAAATGCCGACGTCAACGGTAGTAAATACGAGTTGTCGTGGGCAATACTATCAAAATTGACCCAAGGCCAAAAATAGATTTAGAAACAGTATTTTATATGAGCCCAACAGAGCTATTGTTGTCATCTATAGCTTTGCACTGGAGATAATAAAAGGCATACAATCTAACTTAGCATTAGCTATGCAGTTTTAGCTTAGTTTCAATATGTCCGATAGTTCTGAAGGCAGCATTGTCAACAGTCCACTACAAAGACGGTAGATACACCTGAGATCCAACAGGTGGCAGCATTTACCTTTTATTTTTTTGTATGGCTCAGAGACGGACAGTACATTTGCCACTGTGCATACCGATGATATCAAACTATATTTCGATCACAAATGTTAATAGTTAAATAGTGTATTTAGCACAGATGTCCAAATGTTGGCACGTTTTCATGAAAAATGTGCAAGTTTGTAAGAGTGTAGGACATTGGAGAAGTGGGTTTAATAATAGCAAAGACAGTTAAATAATTGACTCTACTAGTAATTACAAGACAATTGCTCTGTTCTGTATGGTTCAGCCCTCTAACTTAAGCAATTACCTATAAAACCATATAAAAGTCAAGGAGGGACATGAGGAGAGAAATGACCCATTTGAGTTAAATAAACCTGTTTCAAGAGCATAATCATATTGTTATGGATTCAAACTGTAGCTGGATCAATAATTTAATCTTTCAATTTATTTACAGCACTTGTCATTGTGTTGTTATTATGTCATCTATTTACAATAAACATCTGACTGCATAAGGATTAATTTTGTCACAGATTTATTGCTTTGGGTTGCTTTATTGTGAATGGCTGCATGAGGCACTTAGCATGAATAAGACATGAAATTAAGATCTTGTTATTAAGTTTAATGACTTTACTAGTGAGGGCATCTCCCTCACGTATCTGATTTACGGTGTCCACATTGTGCTAATGAATCTGTGTTTAATCTCTCATTATAGAATGATTAATAAACCTTGGACGGGCTTCTTTGCATTTTAAGAGACATGCCTGTGGGCACATGAACATAATTAATCCATCTGTCTGCAACCTCTCTGATATTATAGGAAATGTAGTAGACACCATTTGCAGAGGTCATTAAATGTCTGCCTAATGTATGTGCACTGATAGCATGGTGGTACTCTCAAATGTTTGGGAATACTGTGTGTGTATGTGTGTGTGTGTGTGTGTGTGTGTGTGTGTGTGTGTGTGTGTGTGTGTGTGTGTGAAAGAGAGAGAGAAAAAGAGCGAGAGCACGCACAGCATGATATAGAGCTTTTTTTCCCCTCAGAGTTTTGATGATTTGAATGGTTTGATAGAGTATCAGGATTTTTTTTCAGATCTTTAATGAGATGTTCCGAATGACAGCCTCTGAAAACTGACAACTAAAAATAACTGCTGTGGCCATGTCCTTCATAGCTGACTGCCTGCCATCTCAGCCCTCCTCTCTCAGCCCTCCTCTCTCTCTCTCTCTCTCTTTCTATTTGCTCTGTCTGTCTTGTCCTCTTTCATTTAACCTCAGCTATGTTCTCATGTTAAACAAAAGGGAAATGAGATGAAATCTCATCAAAAAAAAGGATGGAAGATAGAAGCCCACGAGACACTTCAAAATCAGTTATATTATGAATGAAGACTATTGCTGTGGGAGTATTGCGCAAAGGCACTTCAGTGATTGTGCCCAGATCTACAGGTTCAAGCAATGTTGTTGAATGCAGACTGGATCTAAAGTAGGGCAGAAGGGGGGTAGAAGTCAAAATATCTTCCATTGCTGACACATTTATAGATTCCATTGAAATGCCATCTGTCATTCCCCCACCATAAGCAGGGACGCTCTGAATGTCACTGCCGTGCCTTTGAGGTGACCCAGCTCTCTGCCATCTATCACAGCCAACTACAGTTAGCGCGTCCACGCAGAGATTGAAGAGTCCAGTGGTAAACTTGAAATACTTGATCATAGCGGGCTATCAGTAATGCGAAAACCTTCCTGGGTAGAAGAACCTCAGAGGAGCTGTTGATGTTTTCCACTATTTCCTCATCGAGCTCTCCAGTTATTCAGAAAACCTTTTCCTCTTGCATGCACCCACATGGGAATCAGGGTTTGTCAGCTTTACGGCCTCATATATCTCCATATCCATTTGCCATTTGATGGCTCTCTGTCAGGACGTTCAAAGTGGTGTTGATTGTGCTAATGATAATGTGTCAGCAATGTGTCCCGTGTTAGGACCAGAGCGGGGCTGCCAGCCAGAATACAAGGAGACGCTGCGGGATGATGTTGTGTTCTGCTGTAGTAAGTGATTGATGACTTTCTCTGTTGTAGTGCTTTGATTAGGACTACAGTGATTTATAGCCACTGCTCACAATTCAATTAGACTCCATATAAACACTCAACAAAACAGTGTTGTGTTGCTATATGAGCCCAATATGTGTGAGTTTGTACACATACTTGTGTGTTATCTTCATATATTATTACATTATATTGTGACGTTGTGCATCTAAATGCTTCCCAAATCTGTCTGAATAGATTCTGCAGGGGGAAAAAAACATACCCCTCAGTTCACTATTTTTTCTTTTAAAGCAGGAAATGTGTTGCATGTGAGGTATTTATTAAATAATTTAATATGTGATGGATGTGTTTACCTTTAACGGAAATTGCCTGGAGTGTATTAGCTTCACTATTGCCAAGAAGCGTGATAAATAGATGTGCAAATGCAACCATGCTGTGTTTGATGGTTTGGGACTGTGGGTTTTGGTTTGTCTTGATCTCTTTAGTTTGACTGAAGAAGAGGCAAGATAGCAGATACCATGAGTGAGGGGTTGCGACTCATTCTAAAATGTGTTTATTTCAAGTAAAAAATTTCATATTATTTTCATATTGCTATTTCTAATGCAGATGCATTCTTTTTGAAAATGGAGTATCGCAGCAATAACAAATAGGGTCCCACTGCCAATGTCAACAATATATCTTACATGGGGTTGTTGCAACATCACCAAGGTGTTCAACAACACAATCCATCTCCCTTGCGTGAGGGGTGTGGCATCATTGCTGGTTTGCACTTTGTTCTTCCTGTTTCCGATGGGCAGAGCCCCACAGACGATTTGTGCTCGGAACTTCCTGCCTACAGGGGTGGAGGATTTGACCTTGCTTTACATAGATTCCCCCCCCCCCCAATGTTTGGTCCATTAAAGAGTTATTTCTAGACGATTTGCACTGAAAAAGTGCCCATCGTGTGGAGACTCCCTCACTACACTGATGATGATATAACTCAGTGTTGTCAGACCTTTAAATGCAGCATCTGCATTGATTAGTGTGTCTTATAGGTTCAAGTCTGACCCAAACACTGCAGTTATATTTCACATTAAAACGTGTTCCTTAATGACTGACTATTGTTAACCTTATAGGTTCTTATTAGTGTTTGTATATTTACAACATATGACTCCAGCTCTGAAAAAGAGAGGGGGGGAGAGAGGGGGGGGGGGGGGGGGGGGCTTTTACAAAAATAAAACCAGTATATTACCACCACTTCATTATATATTTGTATTCATGTTATTTACAGATTGCAACATACAACAACATAAAAGCAAACCTGGCAAATATATACGCTGAACTAAAGAAATACCTTCTCAAAAAGCTGAGTAAGAAAAAAACAATAAACTAAGATGCCAAATCAGAGCCACAATCTACAAAGACTAATGAAAATACAGATCAGATTTTAATGTCCATCGTCTTTTGTCGAGATTAAAATGATAATTCGACATTTTGGGAAATACACTCATTTGCTTTCTTGCTAGTTAGATGAGAGGACAGACATTTTTCCCTTTGGTCAGAGTCAGGTTACCTGTTTCCCTCTGTTTCCACTCTTTGTGCTAGGATAAGCTAACCACCTACTGGAACCACCTATATGTTTAGAGTACAGTGTCAGTGGTTTCAATTTTCTTATCCAATTTCTGGCAAGAAAAAGAATAAATGTTGAACTCTTCCTTTAAGTTTCAACCCAAGTCTTGACAGCTAAACCATTTTTTTAAATAGCCACCAGATTTTTAGTACAATCTCATACAGCGGACTGATGGTAGCGCTGTTTTTCAATGGATTTAGCACTCAGACTTGTGTCCATATGTCACAAGACAAACAATTGCATGGACCCATGTCCCCCTTATGCTGATTTGTATCAGTGTAGTGTTAATATCAACCTTGATACATTCCTCCTATCAGATAACTCATCTTTGGGAGAGGCTCGCTCTCTGTGTCTTTCAAGGACAGCAGAGGAATTACTTGCAGGAGAACCTTAAGACAGTGAACGGAAATTTCCCTCCGGCTATTTCAACAACATTTGTTCCTGCTTGCGCTTCCTATTTCCTGTCCTCCTCAGCATGCTTCCTGCTCGACCATTCCTACTGTTCCTCCATCACTATTGTCTCCTCCTTGCTAAAAAGAGACATTGTGCATTGTGAAGACAAACATCCAGTTTGTCAGCAGTCACCCAAGAATTTCCCTTTCAGGAGTGAAACACACCTAGAAATGAAGTGGCAGACAACAGACACTTCAAGGTTCAGATTTTCCATCCAAGAAGGATGACAGAGAGGGTGCTTATAAAAAATGAAGCTCCCTTTTTCCTAAAATGTATTGTGTGGTTGGTTTTATCCAGAGTTGTCGGTTAACTAATGCAGTTAGCCTCAGTACAATGTAGACTAGACCAGCAGCACTCTGTCAGCCCAAATACCCCCATGGTCACATCAAGTACCACTCTAATGTCACCTTAGGGAAAAAAAGAGTGCAACCATATCCTAAGAGTCCATTTCTCATTCCTGCCCCTGACAGAGTCTGTGGCGCAGGGAATGAGATTTTCCTTTTCCTCAAACTTCCCA